GGCAGAAGGATCTGTCAACCTCCATCGGATAAGGCTGCTCAAATGTAATGGTTAATTCCATAAGGTGCATTGACTGAGTCACAATTCGATCAACCCCATGCATGTTTTCTGAGAAGAAAGCCCAGTGCAAGTAAATCATGGGGGGATTTACTTGCACAAGATTCCAACCTCATTTCACCCAGCTTAAGTTATTGTTCTCAGACCAATAAGGCAGAGCAGAGCAGAACACCCAGATCCCCAAAGTGTCACAACTACACTGAGGAACATCAAAATTACTGCCCATAACCAATTGTCACTTCAAGTGCAGGAGCTCTAAAAGAGCTTCCCCAATTAGAACAGGACTGGTCCAAGTTATTTGGCTTCCTGCAGTGGGGCAGCCACTGGTATTCCTTCCACACCAAAGTCCATGTTCTCAAGTTAGAAATTAGATATTATAACTCAAACCAGCTGTTTTGGCACACAAGACAGACCATTTCACAAGTATACCTCTCCCCTTCCTTGGGAGAAACATGATGAATCAAACAACGAGCAGTATATTGCCCTTTTATGACTCTTAAATCTATTGCCTGAGGTGGCTACTTCATTCTGCCTAATGGCAGGACCAGCTCTGAGCCAGATTAATTTCTGTTCATTTAATAGGGGAGAGAGCTGATCATGAAATGAGCGTTGAATTCCAGATTAGAGTATGTACCCATTAGAGATCATGGATTCTGTGCATTGTCTATACCCGAAAGACCCCACCATGTCTCAAGAAAGGAAACAGCAACCACAGACTGATTTCCAGAACCCTTTAAGAAATTAAAAACGATGCCATAAATTTAGGCTTCAGAATGGTTGTAAATGGTACACCTGTAGAATGATATTGTGATTTCCAGTGCAAAGAAGAGGGAAGGAATAGAGTAACAATTCGGCTAATATTAATTTATTGTCTCCCATGCTATTGGAAATAGAAATTGCCAGGAAAACTAAGACATTAAAGTGATATACAAATACAGACCTTTTTTTTTGGGGGGGGGAGAATTCTGTGAGCTGTGATGCTTTAGAATTCAGACTGTTCTACATAAAACAGATCCATCCTAGGACATGTGTCAGGAAGAGATCCCCACATGGATGCTTTCAGAATATCCACACCTTCATGAAAAGTATGTCAATACTGATGCAACTTTTAATCCTGAAGTCAGACCTTGGCTCGGTTTGTTTGGACTGCAACTTCAGCTGCTGTCCTTGCCATCTGGGGCATTCTAGGAGCTATCATCCATGATAGCTTTATCAAGCTTGGCTGAGAGCACATCTGTCTTTTCTCTCAAACAAAATGGTTGTTTGTGCAAATATGCTTTTAAAAATGTTAAGTGAGCCAGAGATTCATGAACTCTCACTCCTATGCAGGCCTTGACATGCCAACTGTTGGAATCCAAGAAGATCTTATTGTCCTGTTTTTCTGAATCAACTAAAAACAATAACCTGAGACTGTATGAACCAAACCCATTTTTGCTCATTCAGATGCTTGACTTAATAGTTCCCAGTAACTTTTTAATTCCTTTTTACTTGGCTCAGTCCAGCTTGTCATATATTTTAGGGAGACAGACAAGGTGGCTGGTTGGGGATGGGGATCTAATTAACTTTCCACTGCAGGAATCAGATGCTTTTCTTGTCAAACCATCTTCTTCCAGAAAGGTTCCTCTGACATCATGGGAGCTTGTCTACAGCAATTAGTCCAAAGATCCCATCTTTGTCAGCAATCTTAACCATTGGCACTAGCACAGCTGAAAACCAAGGCATGCTTCTGTGATCTCAGAACAATGTTGAGTTTTCTTGATAAAGAAACAGTATGATTGGGTTTAAGGCTTTGTGCTAAGCAAGGACTCACTTTACTACACAAGCACTGGTTCGCAAAATTGAGGATACAGTATTTCTTTCCTGTGTTTATCATGAACTGTGCAGCTGTGTGGTTTCAGACTATCATCCACCTTCTCTCCAACAATTATGTCTCCTAAACCACCCAAACCCTGAGAAAGAAGCACACATTCTACAAACACACACACATATGTATTCCCAAAAATGTCAAAAATAATATTAAAGGTTACTTTCCAAAGTCTTTAACAGTTTTGCCATGTGGATTTATGGGTTTTATTTTCTTTGTGACAACTGTTTGATTTTCTGTAATCTGCAGCTTGCTGCTACTTGGTAACAGAGCTAAGTTAAAATTAGTAATGAAGTATCTTATTTCCAAAATATATAATTATTTTGATCAGAAATGCTGTAGGTTCAAGGCTAATACTTTTCAATTCATCATTTCACATAATATTAAAGTGCTGTTAAAAATCAATTTCATTTAAATGAACACATTGGAAAAGAATGTACAAGTTCAAAATTGTTAATTCATTCTAACTGGATTCATTGTTACAGGCAGGCAATACTGATATGTCAAACCCCATAGTACTCCAAAGGAATTAATGGAACAATGCATGCATTTTCATCATCACAAAGTAAGACTGAACTTTAAGGAAGAAGAAACTATTTTAATCATTATCACACTATTATTGTGAAAGAATAATGTGCTATAATTCAATATCTAGGACATGTGTATATCCAACTATAGAATAGTGTCACTTAAACTGGAAACAGAATGAATTACTATATGAAAATATTTTAAAAATACTGTACACGGCTTCCTTAATTGTCCAGCATATGTAAACAAACAGCTAACTCAACTGAGTTTTAAAATAGTACTTTAAAATTAATTGTCTTATCCTTTGCATAACATGCCAATTTGTTCTTTCGCACTATCACAATGTACCTATTACACCTCACAGTGGCTCATTAGAGAATTATGCCAGTTCACATACATTGACAGTGGAGCTATACAGAAGAAAGTGAAACATACAGCTGCTACAGGTTGTGAATCCTTGATCAAGAAATGCATATTGTATATATACATATATGCTGGCAATGTGGCTAGCTGAGCCTGTTGATCAGTGTTAACATGTGCTATATTACTGAACGTTATATGCAATATAAATATATGACTACACAGTGCATCAAATGCTCTTTTATAACGTTCATTAATGTGATCACATATCACCACCATATTGGATTGTACATGGGACAATTTATAATAAAGCAGCCAATGCATAAAATGGAGGGGGGTCCCCATTTGTATCTATTCTTGTGCAAACCTAAGTGCTCTCCCATTTCATCTTAAATCAGTCTGTCCCACCTATATATATATCAATATTTGATTAACAGATCTCCAGACAATGCTGTGACAATTTAGGATAATCAATACATCTGAACTGAACTTATATAGACATCTAGGATCTCTCACACACAATAACCATTTGGATGAGGCTATAGCTTGTACACAATCAATTATTTTTGCCTCTACATTAACAACTGATACAGTGGCTTATACCAAATGGTCAAAACAGGGTCTCCATAACAAAGCTTGAAATAAAGGAAATTTCCACAGCAACCATCAAAAGAGGCGTCTTAGTATTGAGATAATTGAAACTATATTCCACAGAAAACATATTTCATCATTCTGTAGCTTGTTTCAATATATGTATCTCTATCTAACATCTTTTAGAAAAGCCAGGTACTGCCACATTGGGAGAAGTGAAGATTATACCGCTGAAGTGCAACTTGGGTGAATTACTGTTGTCCAGTAGCAATAGATATGAACATGCCCAATTTTTTTTATTTTGCTTATCTAGAATCCAAGCTCTGGTTTAAGAAAATGCTGTATTTGAATTTAGAGGCAGTCTGTGAGCCTGGGAGTATCCTGACTGTAAACTGACTATGTCAGATGTCCTTGTGAATTGTAAGCTCTCAGGAAAGAAGTCAGAAAGTGGCATGGTGGAATGTTCACTGGCAGTTTTGCTGATTAAAATGTGTTTATTTGTGCTCACCTGGCAAGTTAAAATGTGCTTTTTGAAGGAACACAAGTAAACTTTTATTGTGAACATTTTAAAAATATATATAATTATAATTGATATTGTATATAAAATGGAGAACAGACATTTAAAGTTTGGCTGATAATTCCTTGATATGAATCTGTTTTATTCAGATTGTCTGGTGGATGGCTGCTCTCTTGATTTTGTGCCAAAGTGAGTCTTTTCAGACCATAATTCTCAAAACATAATTCTTTCTACAGTACTTGGGAATCATGTTTGTTCTCAGAATTAATGTGAATAGTCACAGCAATTCATGAAAAATGCATATTTATAGGGATTTTATTTTATTTTACTTTTGGTCCACCAATGGCACAATATACCTTAAAGTCAAATTGGGGACGAAATGTTATATATAATACGGCATCAACAGTGTGATTAGTTCTCACTAGGCTAAACCTCATATACGTAGGTCAGTGCAGTGTCACTGGGGGCGGGGAGCGGGAGGCAGGGGATAGAATAGGGAAATTCAAGAAAGTCCTGTTGAGAATTGTTTCACACGGGTCATAGTCAGTGCAGGTTAAAGGGATCCATTCTGCTGCTTGAGAGGATTTGTGGAATAGGCCCCAAACAGAATCAAGACAGAATGACACTGTATTTTGAGCATTTATCACTGAAACAGCACCTAATGCTTTTGGGGCACTGTCTCAAAAAGGGTTGAGGAGCTCCTTGCAATGTTACACTGAGGATGCTTAATCTGGAATGCCTGTGATTGAGTATGCAAATAGGCCTGGAAAGCGCCAGGGACAGAAGTCCTGGATACAACTTTTACATGTACATCACATGCAAACCCAAGTGTCAGAACAAGATTAGGCAAAGTATTTGTGTCTCCTAGCTCCCATATAAACCAATGTTTTATTTAATTTAATAAAAAAGTGGAAAAGACTCTTGTTTTGTCCTCTAGTCTAGACACCCTGGGAGGCAATTTTGTAATGTTTTCCTCCAAAATTTGTGTTTATTTTTTATTTTAATTTTGTGTGCTTGTGTTTGTGTGTGTGTGTGTTGTTTAGAGAAAAATATTTTTGGCGGGGTGTGTGTGTGTGTGTGTGTGTGTGTGTGTGTGTGTTGCAGGAGCCTTCCAAAGTTTGAAGTGGGCGCATGTGGCTGCTGAGCCTCTAGAATTTGACCACCTATACTAGAAAGAGGGTGACATTTTCTTTAGATTTGTGCTATTGTTTTTTTTTAATATAAGAAAAAAGAGCATTAGCAAGCACACACTTACTCCTATGGGAGGAGCAATTTGAGGGAAATCTGGAGTGGGGGACAAACTAGTCATTTCTATCATCACCTCTTCTTTGCTTCCTACTCCTCTTTCCGTTTGCCAAAGTGTGTTTCTAACTAAAAAACGTAGACTCTCTCTCCCTCTCTCTTACGCACACATACACACATAAAAAGAGTGTGAGAGAGAGAGGTATCGGGGCTCCAGTATGAGTATTTTATCAGACATAGTTAGCTACATATTACAGCTGGACATCTGAAATGGGCAAAGACAAATGGTTTATCCATGGTCTTTTAACAATCATCAGTATATCAAGTCACGTTTCCCATGCATTTGGATAAGCCAGAAATTCTGCTATTGCTGTGTGTGAAGTTCACATGACAGAAGAGCATACTTTGAAGAACAATTAGGTAAACTACAGAAAAAGAACTGGATTATTTAAAAACTGAAATGGAACTCAGCAGCTCTGAGGAAGTTATTTTGCATTATGTAGCAGAAATCACCACCCTGCTATATTCAGAATGCAACTGCTCACCACATATCCCTCTTGCTTCCACCTAGTGTCAGAGCAATTATTGACTACTTTTTTCAGCAGTGGTGGATTGTGCGAGGTGGTGATGGAAAGGTGTGCCAGGAGCCGCACAAGAAGCCTTGGCTGCACAATTCTCATGCCTGAACAAGACCCATACAGATTTTCAGAGTTGTGTGCTTCGTCCTCCAGATGTTTTCAACATTTCTAGTCATACCTGACAAGTGGCTATTATGCCATTTGGTCTGATGGAACTTGTAGCCCCAGACCCTTAAAAGCCATCAGGCTACTGCTGCATCTCTCTGGTGGTTCGTCCCCTGGAAAAATGCCTACATCTAAAGATTTAGATGGAGGTGGTCAAAACGGCTGAAAGAAATTTAGCCACTGACCATCAGAGCTCAGAATAATTTCCTAAAACTCTTTTGAAACCTCATATATATATATATTTCAGCAACAGAGAGAGTAATACAGCATACTATTCAGTAATGATTATATTATTTCTCCAAAAGCACATTATGATTAAGATATTATTTTGAAGGGTCTTGTGTTCTACCTCCTGTGTCATTGTACCAGTGGTATAACTCACCCTATATCTTTGAAACACTAGACATTTACTGCACACACTGTTGAATGGTAGGCCTGAACTGACCTTGAACAGGTTACTTTTTTAGATCAGAACTCTCCACTGGTGCTGTAGAGCAAAAAGTAACTTTTTCCAAAGTCTTGAGGGAGGCAGGATAGGTGTGACTCTTGCATTTCAGGGCATGTTCTTGTTCTTTTGTCTCTTTTGTACAACGGAAGCATACTTAAAGTAATGGCTTTTGCAGTTCTTGGAAATCTCAATTTCACTTTGGTGCTCAAATAAGCTCTAAAAAGCTTTTATTTTTGTTAGAGGAGAACGTCATTCATCATCTACAATTGTTCTGTGTTCAATTGAGATCAGACAACATAATTACAAATGTACAGTCCTGTAAATACTGAAATGGTCAGGTACCACATGCTTTAACATGAAACAATGGTTGCTTAATGATGGAACAGCTAGAAGCATATGGCAATGACAAATAAAGCCACAATTGATGCAAACACTGGGGAAAAAATAATGAGATATATATGTTGCACAGAATAGAGAACATGATGTCAGTTCTGCTCTTATTTTTACCCTCTCACTTTTTAAGATATTTAGCATTTTAACAAGGATCCGTGAAATGCCTTCTAAATTGATGAGGTGAGTAATTAAAAAAATAAATATTTACTCTTCCACTTAATTACATTCATCCTGAGCTTGCTCAACTGTGCTAAAGATCCTGCATAAAACAGGACACCATGTGACTAATTATTAAATAAATTGTTCCCTTTTCCTCATGCTGCTGTACAAAAGGCATCTCTTTTCTTTCCCTTCTTGGAAAATATAAACAATAGTGGCACTATAAGGTAATACAAAAAAGAGACCAGTGATCTGTGAGAACATTAATCCAATTTTTCATTACAATGGTCAAGGAGAAGCAGAGGGGTGTGGAAAGATGGGGGGCAGTTAAGGACAGATTTGCTTTTGGTTTCTGTAGAATGGTGCCAAAATTTCATCCATCAGCCATCAAAAGAATACTGATGCAAAAGTCAACAGAACCAAATTCCAAAGACCATCTTTGTATGCATGTTAGTTTGTTTCACATCTTTTTAAAAAAGTAATCTATCCCTATTTTGAAAGGCAGGCTCCTTAAACAACTCACCCATTTACACATGATGTCATAAAGATCTTAAAAAACAATCTCTCTCTTTTTTCCCCTCCCATCCCCCACCCCCGTTAAGTGCAAGTGCCAACTAGGTCAAGATACAGAACCTCAGTGCTTGACACTGAGGTCACCAAAGTGCTAGCTAACTTGTCTAGTGGCAGATGGCCAGCTGTTGCTGACATACAGTGGTCTGAGGTTACTTTGTTCTCCTTAAAGAAAAGAATGGGAGAGCAGACAATTCTTCTTTGTTATGTGCTTGTTCTCTCTAACTGTGCTTGCTCTCAAAGCTGTGGAAGGCACCTGTTCTAGAGAGTCTTCTCTTTGATAAGGTGTCTCCCCTGTTCTCTGGCTTGGATGACTTGCTCCGTTGGAACGTATTTCGGAGACTTGCCGCATTGCGTTGCCGGTCAAGTTTATCGCTGATAGAGTAGCTTTTCCTTGTATGTGCATACAACAAGTTGGATTCATCCGCAGAATAACTGTTGGCCCGCTCTATTTTTGGAAGAGGGATATTGTTAGACAGTGTTCTGGTAGTATTGCTATCTTGAGGTGACAAGGAGACCGCTTTTTTGTCTTTGGCTTCGGTATCCTCATTATCAGAGCTGGGGTGACTGAGTTCGGCTTCCCTCTCTGGGTGGCAGCATCCTAAGTCATCCATTTTGTCTCCAAGAAAGCCAGAGAAGCTAGACCTTTCTGCGACGGTTTGAGGAGCACTAACGCACCTTGTGTCGATGCAATCTGTAATGCTTGTGTACTCTGCTGTTTTGACAGGCACTCCAAGGTTGCTGAAATAGCTCCCAGAAGGAGAGGACATGAAACTGTGAGATTTTACTATTGGTGCTTCCTCCAAAAGAAATGGGGTGGTAGCCAGGTATCGACTGCTTTTAGACCGCTCTAACGTATGATACAAGGGAGGGTCAGAGTCCCAGGGGTTTTGGCTGTCTGTAATTTGGGAGTAGTCTGAAGAAAATACTCTTGTTTCCATTGAAGAGGGGTCATCGTAATCAAAACTCCTGCCTGAAATTCTCTCCCCAAGCGTACCACTGACGTAAGCACTGCTTGAAAGAACACTGGAAGCGATCTGAGCTTGTAGAGCCGGGTCTCCCGTCCCCAAGACGTTCATTGAACTATCTAAGGGTTCTATTACTGACTGCAGCTCATCCATGGCAGAGACATAAATGTCGATGCAGGAGGAAGGCCTTCTGGAGTCTGGGGCTATTGACAGAGTGCTTGTAGGCACTAAAGGTATTTTTTGCTCTTTTGAGACCGAGTGAGAGCTGCTAGCACGGTGAAGGCTCAGAGGTCTCTCTTTAAAGATGCTTTCAAACTTCTCCAACCCACACTTGTCCTTCACGTTCATGGCATAAAAGGAGTGACTTCGCAAGCGGGGTGTCACTGTTGGAGAGGTTGGGGACATTGATTCATCCGCTGTGGGATCAATACTCTCTTGAAGTTTGTAAGTGTTTCCTTCCTGGCTATTGAAGCTACTCTGTCTGACAATGTAGGCTGTGTCAGTACAGTCAGAAGATGTTCGAGACCGTATTTTAGTGGCCTCTCCTCTGTCCAGGCCTGTCAATTTATCTAACGCTGTAGCCATTCGGCCTATCATATCTTCCAATTGAGCAAGACGGATGTCTACAGTCTGAAGTGAAGCCTTCATACAGTGCTCACGTTCATTAACTTCCTCTAATCGCATTGCCATGTTTTCCACCCTAGGAAAGAAAAAGGAAGGCAGAGAAAAGCAGAGTTAATTTCAAGCAAGACAAACATGTTTATTTGGATTTACTGAGTATCAGACACCAGGTTAGGAGTGCTGATAATATTCGTGTTATGCTGATAATATAATGATAAACATAAGACCATGGATGTGAGCGATGCTTCATTGTATTCAATCAAGCTGTTTTCTCCACAGGGATGATCAGCCTATTGAAATAACGAGTCCATCCAGGGTAAGTAGTTCAGTTTACCTGATAACAACACATTTCATGTTGATTGTTTGGTATTTGCTCCAAATTTTTTATGTTTTCTTTTAAATGTTACAAATAGGGATGGAATAATAATAAACTTGGAACTGTAGAGCTGGAAGGGACCCCATAGTTCATTGAGTCCAGCCCTTGTCAAGGAGGCACAGCGGGGATTCAAAATAGAATTATACTGGAATCAGCAATTCTGATCAAAGTCACATTTTTTGTACCTCCCAAGACCCTGTGTCTCTGTCTCTCTGTGTGGGGGAACAGAAGGTATCTTGCCTTCACATGTGAAAGAGGTCATTTCAGAAAAATAAAAAAAGCCCCCAAACAATGCATTCATCATAAACTATGAGCAGCAAAACTGTAGAAATGAAAAAAGAACCCACACAAAACACTTCAGCCAGTGGAGAATATGTGGATGCTTTACATAAAATGTATGAACAAATGTGCACATTAGGAAAAATGCATTAAAATGCTAGAAGGAAAAACACCTTGCAACCCAACACAAAAGGAGGACTGGAAGAAAATTTAGGTGCGGGTCAAGAGAAGGACAATGAAATAGATATGCAGAATTTCTCCAAAGCCAATGTTGTAACTTTAAAACAAAAGTGATGTATCCGTTAGGGGTTATAGCTCAAAATATTGTATTCCTTTACAGCAAACAGTTCTGCATAACATCATTATTTTTATAATGTAAAATATATTAGAAACATAAAGAGGGGAACTTAAAAAAATGGAAGATTGATGTATGTTTCTGAAACTCTGCCTTAAGTATATGGACTGCTTGTTTTTTTTGAGAAGGAGATTTCTTCTAAGAGACATGTCCAAGTTACATTTTCGACCACCTCAGTTTGAGGTCTTAGAGTTGAACTAGTTATTGAATTTTGGAATGTGAGTATGCCTGGAAGCTTCCAGGGTGTAAGTGTGTGTGACACAAGCACAGATTCCTCTCGTTTAATGGGCTAACTCAGAGGTGAGGCTTGTGTGCCTCTTCTGCTTCTGTGGGACTGCATCTCCCACCAGTCTTCGCCAGCAAGGCCTGGTGTGGATTGAAGTCCAATATCAGGAGCCACACGTGTTTCTCACCATCTTGGCTACATGGGACAGATTCCCTGTTGATGACTAGATCTATAGAGTAGTCTGATTTTTAAAAAAAATCACAAAAAATATACAGATACAGTGTAGGATTTCATACCTTTTGGAAAGCTGCCAATAACCTAGAGCAAGGGCCAATTTATGTAAAATTTATCAGATGGAAACTGTTCTTCCACAGAGAAACACAGCTTGTAAAAGCTATGGTCTCCTAAATTGTAGGTATTATTGAAAGCACATTCCTTACAGGGGTTATTGCACATGGAGAAGGGATGCATATCTCTCCCCTCTCCGGAGTTAAATCCTTTCTCCTGTATAGCTGCAATGCTTAAGGGAAAAAGTCTATGATGCCACGAATAAGAACTTTCCCTCTTAGTATTTTTGGGGGGTATGCTGAGGAGATTTAGGGCCTGAACACTCAGACTTAGAGGAGAAAAACCTTTTTCTGTAAGGCTGATATGCTCTCTTCTACGTCAGGAAAAACGAAGTAACCACATGTAAATGCAGCAAGGGAACATTTAATTTGGTTCTAACTACCCTATTTGCATTGCAATGTAATACTTTTATTTGGATATATGAGCTGCTGAAAATATCCATCAGAATAGCTGTTTTCCGCATGAGTAATTTAATTTTTGTGAAATACTTTTGAAAGATTCACCAGTGTCTGCTTACTTTTAATTTTTAAACAGTACAAGAACAGCATAAAGCCTTTTTTGTTCCAAAATAAAATAGAAAAAACCACTCCCTTCCCAAAATAGATAGGAGACTAGAAATACTAAAGCTCAAAATGTATGCTATGTTATAAACCAAAACTGTGCACCTTTCAGAGGTAACACGGATTCTTTCATCATTGGAAGAATTAAATCTATCCTCTTTCTCTCTGAAATATTCTTCTATGCACTGTTCTTCAAAATCATGAACTTTCTTGAGTTCGTCATCTGTTATGAAAAGCTCTGCAGAAAACATAGGAGGCAATGATAAAGCGGCAGTGAAAAACAGTTCATTAGTTATCATCACAAGGGATTGCCAATGGCATGGATAGCCCCACAAGACCACTTCAGTCCTTTAAACATTGGTACCTCTGCATTTACATCCTAAGTGTCCTATGTGACCCTGTGGCTCTCGGTGCAGGTCGGATTCTGAAAAGCAGCATTCGATAGCCCTGAGGGTCAAATCTGATGCTACAGGCAGCACGTCATTACAACAAGAAAACATGTGAGCATTTCAGCCTCTTCCAGTCTTATTTCTGAACACTCAAAATGCAACTTAAGCCAGCATTGTAACACCTGACAACACATGACATTCTGTTGTCTGAGGTGCAGCATCCCCTTCACCTAATTTAGCACAAAGCTGCTGTTTTTTTAGCACAAGGTAGAAAATCCACTAGGTACCTCTCTTGAAATCTGGCAGTTAAACTACAGCTCTAACAAATTAAACAACAATTTCCTGCTTTTTCATTATGCTCAAAACCTCCTGCCTGGGAGGTTCATCTCAGTCTGGCCAATGGTAGGGCCAGCCCTGTTCCTGATGGCCAACCACAAAGCAAGGTAAGCTAGTTTCCAAGTGCAAGAGAGCAGAATAGCTGACCATTATCTCTCATACAGAAGCAGCTGTGTTGGTGTGAAAGGATGCCTATGTAGTTTGTGAAGGCAGTGCCAGTTCTTCCACTGGAAATGCTCAGTGCAGCTAATAAGCTCCTCTGGACAACAGCACACAAGAAATGTTGTGCTAGCAAAGAAATAAAATGGATGGCAGAGAATATCATTGAAAGATAAAACATCAGGGAGATTAAAACTTAACAGTTCATCAGGTCAGCACCGACTAAAATAGGGGAAGTGCAATGGCCCAGTGACTGCAAACAAAGCAAAACAGAAAAAAACAGAACAGAACAAAACAAAAAATCAAAGAGGGTTTCCCAAGATAGGAATCTTTCCTGCAAGAGGAACAAAATGTAGACGTTGGTGAGATCTAAAGAAAACTGTTATAATTCATTTTAATCTGGCTGCCTTTGGGGAAAAAAAATAGAAATTACAACTGGAATTGCATCATATGGTTTATTCCAATGCAATGTAACACCACCAGAATGTGGTGCCCAAGGATCGCATTGGAAAAAAGCATATGATGCATGAAACTCTATGAGGCACAGTAACAGTAGAACTGTGTCAATTTAATGGTTCTCAGTTTTGCTCCTAGGTCCAGTTTAAACTGGTGATGTTGACCTTTAGAGATGGTCTGGGACTGGAGTACTTGAAGGACTTATCTCATATTAAGTTCTTAGTGCAACTGCATAACCTAAATTTTTGGATATGCTTCTTTGGTGTTTCCCGTGCAGGTTGTTATACAGGACAGAGCTGGCTTAGCAATGGCACCTGTATTGTTCAAATACTTCCTGCAAGGTGGCCTACATGATTTTTTCTACAGTGAGTTTTCGTTTACAAACTAAGATATGGCTTTAAAGTAATCTGAGACACCTAATAATTTCCCACCCCATTTAATCGTTGTGCTACTGCTGCTTGTTTCATTGCCAAATGTATGTTTTATTTCTTTGATCTAAATATTGCAAATACCTCAGTGACTGGGAAGGGCTCAGACAGACCTAGATAGCAGTGCCAGGCAGCAGGTAATGGGTAAGATTCTCTTTGTGAGATCCCAGAAAGCTGCTTCCACTGAGTGGAGACAATACCTGGCTAGCTGAGCCCTATGGATCTTGGTGAATATAAGGACGACACACATAAAACCTTTGAAGTAGTTTTATTGTACAGTATGTCTCAGTCTGAGGTTTCCAAGACACAGTTATGTTACACTGATAGAACTCTGCCACCACTACGCCAAATTACATAGGCATATTCCAGAACCAGCAGCTGATTGTAAGCACAATAATCCTCAGTACATAGCCATTGTCTAGCCCAAGCTGTGGCTATTTTGTGCAAGTATCCTAATTGTAATCCATAGTTGCTCTTTAAAACCCACAGAAATCACCATGTATATCCTAGTAGTTTTTTCATATTCTGAAATATTTTCCAAGGCTTAGTTACATGACACTTACTCAGTCCATAATCTGTTTCATCCGGGTCACTGTCATGTTTCCGCCACCTACAGCATATGTGCTGAAATATCATAGTCATGTGGCTGAAAATGATTAATGGAGGTGGCAAGACTGGTCTTTCATGGAATGTCATAATGAGCTGATATCTTTGGAACTTCCATACTTGATTAGATATAGATTTCACTTCAAAAAACGTGTTGCTAAAAAAGAAAAGAGAAAAAGGTATTAGCCTCTGGTAAAGAAATCTGAACTTGATGGCTCCATCAGTGACATTAAGGCCATTGCTCACATTGCATAGCAGCAGAGTAGAATTTGCATGTCATAGGAGAACTGCAGGGTATCCTGGCTCCCCAATATACTAATAGCAGTGTTATCAAATACTTGCTATTTTATTCACATGTCACATTGTTATCTGTATATGAAAAATTTACAGGCACATTTAAACAGGTAATGGATACCGTAGGTTTCTGAAGTTGGAAGAAATCAGAAATGCAAGTATCAATATAGTTCCTCAGGTACAGGAGATGTTCAAATATATTCTTTTTGTCAACTCCTAATACTGCTTCCTAGGCCATCAAGATAAAATGAAAACCTGGAGTGAGTAGGAGGGGCTCCCAGAGCCTTTGAAAATCTGGGTTAAAACTGCGGAAGAGCACAGAACTTGAAGGAAACATGCTGCAAGTAACAGACAATGGCTGAAATCTTGCTGCACAGTTAAGCAAGCAGTGCAACATTTGGAAGCAAATTGCCAAAAGTTAACAAATTTCCATAGAAACTATTTGTCGCATACTGAGTCATGCAACCCAGTGTGCAGAAGATAATGGCTACAGAGAGTTCTTGTGTGTAACTGCATTACAGGATTTCAACTATTATGTCACACATAACCTGCAATGTATTGTTCTGGACAGACAACTCTGGATGTAAACCACTTCTTTCCCATTTGTTGCAGGCAGGTTCTAATTCGTGCAGAGCACCCTGTTTTGGTATCAGCCTGCACATGTCATGTTCTTTTGAACATTAAGTTCAGAAAGCTGGTAGTGAGGAACAGAGCTTGAAATGCTATTGCAAAGTGCTAATGGTTAGCATTAGCATTGCTTTAACAAAATAACTCATATCTTGTTAGTATATTATTGTCTATGTTAATTTTAATATGTTATTTTCCAGGCTCTGAGCTTTGCGTCAAAACAAACATGCTACAAGAGCCAAAAACATGTATCCTACCATTTTCCTTTACTCACTATAGCTACAGGTAGCTCCAAAAATGATGCAGGAACATGGGATACTTACCCTTACTGATGGACGCCCTTTCCCCCACCCCATCAAACCCTGGTCTAAGTTGTTTTCCCATGCACTGGGGGAAAATGAGCCAATTATCTGAATGAGAAAAATATCCAGAAAGGCAGGGGTTCTTCAGCTTGGATCAAATTAGAAGCCTTTTGCAACTGCATGATTCTTCTTTCCCATGCCATATGTTTCACGTAGCAATTCACATTTCTTTTATCATATCTAACTTGGCCTTGAGAATTCAGCTACAGCAGATCTTTTCTTCCTCAATTACCTCTGAACTACCAAAAAAATTTCATTGAATCAAAAGGAAATCCCATTTTAATTTATTTATTTTGAGTTTGCCCTCTAGGCCACTGGTTCTTAACCTTGGGTTACTCAGGAGTTTTGGACTGCAACTCCCAGAAGCCTTCACCACCAGCTGTCCTGACTGGGGTTTCTGGGAGTTGCAGTTCAAAAGCATCCGAGTAACAAAGGTTAAGAACCACTGCTCTAGGCTATAACACTTTAGAAATCTGCACTGTTAATCACATCTGTATGTCACTAAGCACATCACAAATACAATCTCATGTGATTATGGGACTATCATCCCATTACAAATGGAATGATCTCATTAAATTCTGAATGTTTTTTTTACAATTTAACTACAAGAAACGTTACAGTTAAGTTACTCTTCCCCCCCCACCCCCTTTCAACGTACAAAAGAAAGTTGTGAAACTCACTTAAAGACAGCAATGAGCAAATTCACCAGCAGTATGTTTGCAACCAACAGGTAGCAAGCCATGATGGCCGGAACAATCCATGCTCCTGTTTTGCAGGGAGGCAGCTGGATTATTTTACCATCCTCTCTCGTTTCGTTTTGGCCACAAGGAGCTGAAAAGAAACAAGAGAGAACAGGAAGGAAAAATTAATTTCAATTTGCAAAAGCTTTAACTGTAGCTATTCAACATCTAAGCATACAGTGAATTTCAAAAGATTAAAGGGTACCAGAGAAAGATTTGACCCTCTCACTCAGCAGTCCAGCCAAAGATGTGATTACCAAGATCAAGCACTCTGCAGATCTATCACAGAATCCTCACTCCCATGGCTCTCATATCTTTAGCTGAGTTCTTTAAACCAGTACATAAGGAAGTCTTTAGAATGGATGGCTTTGGTTGGACTTTCTCTGTGTCTCTGTAATTGTGCAAACTATCAGACTACGCACGGTTAAATATGACGTTAAAATATTAATTAAATTACTCATGGTAAAATATATTTCCTACAGTAACTTTGGCTTTTTGGAAACACAGAGATGGTGCAGTAGTGTTCACCAAACAGGTATAAAGCAAGATGCTATTTGCCGATGGCTGTTATGTATGCGCAAACTATGAAGTATGATTACAGGATGTTTATTGATACGTTATTATCATTCCATTATGGACTCATGAGAGTGTTCCTAGAAACAGTGGAAGGGATAGGGAAGGCACACTCAAATATTTATACTATCAGGTACATGTTATGCAGGCAACACAGCACATGTCTTATTTCATTTTGTATCACTGATATTTATTTGGGAGGGAAGAGAGAGGAAAGAGGAACAGACTTCCTCAACTTACTAGCTTATTTTACCATCTAGTTCTATCAGGCAATTTCTTCTATATAAGGATTCCACTGCCATCACTATCATTATTTTGGTCTTGTAGTCCAAACAGATCTAAAGAATGAGTAAAGTGACCAGTGCTTAAGAAGCTTGTGACATATGGGCTAAAAGAATTTTGGCAGGTACAGCTTGTTTCTGAATAGTGATAAAAATGGCATTTCCTAAAATAAGGTTTTCTTCAAAACCATTAAAGATATTCAGGGTTTAATTTCCTTTGGTCACCCCTGTGCCAGATGGGAGGAATTGAATTGGTGCAGATACCAGCTTTTATGGAAGGGGGAAATAGGCCCATTGGCTTTTCACAGGTCACAGAGTAAGGAAGCATAACCAGATTTGTTCTACACTGAGAAATTATCAACTTGGTGTGGGAAGTTGTTCCTAGATCTCCAGAAGGTCATTGTTATGTAAATTTATTACATTTGCTTTAGACAAAAATTAACAAAAATGTTATTTGCACGTTTGTTTTCCAGTCCATGTTCCCCAGCCCATATTCCTTTTGTATTGTGTTATTTTAATTGTCACAATGATTTATTTTTAAAAGAATGGTCCTATGTAACCCATTTTGGGAGTATTTTTTAACTAAAGGATAGATATAGGCACTTTGTATTAATATCCTGGAGATATGAATATGAACTGTGGCACTACAGATGCTGCTGTGGCCCATTCCCCTCTCCTAGAGTCAGTCAGGTCCACTGACCAGGCTCTGTGCAGTGCGGCGCTCCTCTGTCATCATGACTGTGCCAATCCCTGCAGGAGGCTGGCCAGCCCTTCCCCACCTCCCCACACAACCAACCGCTGATCAGCTGAGTGGGGAGATTCCCCATTCCACCTCAGTGCTGTGGAAAGCCTGGAGGAGCACTGCGCTGCATGGAGCCTAGTGAATGGACCTGGCTGATTCTGAGGGAGGGAATGATATGAAGACAACGTGCCCATATCTACTAAAGAACAGAGTAAAGGCCCTGAAAAATGAAGACTGAAGGGAGCTTTTGACAAAATGCCCCATGATATCCTGATTAGCAAGCTAACTAGGAGTGGGATGGATAGAACAACTGTCAGGTGGATACACACTTGGCTACAGAATTGTACTCAGAGGGTGATGATTAATGGCTCATTCTCAAATTAGGAGGTGGAAACAAGTGGAGTGCTCCAGGACTCAGTCTTGGGCCCAGTGCTATTCAATATCTTTATCAATGACCTGGATCAGGGGATACAGGGAATGTTAATCCAATTAGCAGATGGCACAAAGTTTTGTGGAACAGCTAACAACCTGAAAGACAGAAACAAAATTCAAAATGATCTAGATAGACTTGAGCACTGGGCTGAAAACAAGAGAATGAAATTCAACAGAGATAAGTGCAAAGTACTGCACCTAGGAAACAGAAACCAAACACACAGTTTCAAGATGGGGGTTACCCGGCTCAACAACATGATGAGAGAAAAGGATTTTGGAATCATCATAGATGACAACTGAATATGAGCCAACAGGGTGATGTGGCTACAAAAAAGGTATATACTATTTTAGGATGCATTAACAGAAGTATAGTCTACAAATCCCATGGGGTACTAGTTCCCCCCTATTCAACACTGGTTAAGCCTTATTTTGAGTACTGTGTTCAGTTCCGGACACTGCATTTCAAGAAGGATGCTAACAAATTGGAAGAAGTTCAGAGGAGGGCAACAAAGATGATCAGGGAATGGGAAACCAAGCCCTGTGAGGAAAGATTGATATAATTGGGCATCTTTAACCTTGAAAAAAGCAAGACTGAGAGGAGATATGATAACACTTTTCAAACACTTGAAAGCTGTCATACAGAGAAAGAGCAGGATCTGTTCTCGATCATCCCAGAGTGCAGGACAGGCAACAATGAGCTCAAGTTACAGGAAGTTAGATTTCAGTTGAATATCAGGACAAACTTCCTAACTGCTAGAGCAGTACAATAATGGAATCAAGTACCTTGAGAAGTGAAGTACAATAATGGAATCAAGTACCTTGAGAGGTGATGAGGGCTCCAACACTGGAGTCATTGAAGAGAAATGTAGACAACCACATGGCAGATATCCTTTGATTTGTATTCCTGCCTTGAGCAGGGGGTTGGACTTGAATAGCCTTATAGGCCACTTCTAACTTCATGATTCTATGATTCTATGTGATAGCACTTTTCAAACACTTGAAAGGTAGTCATACAAAGGAGGGGCAGGATCTGTCCTTGATCATCCTAGAGTGCAGGACACGTAAAAATGGGCTCAAGCTATTGGAAGCCAGATTTAAGCTGAATATTGGGAAAAACATCTTAACTCTTAGAGCTGTACAACAATGGCACCAATTACCTTGGGAAGTGGTGAGTGCTCCAATGCTGGAGGCATTCAAGAGAAAATTGGACAACCATCTTTCAGATACAGTGGTGCCTCGCAAGACAAATGCCTTGCAGGACAAAAAACTCGCAAGACAAATGGTTTTGGCAATGGAGTTGATAACTCGCAAGACAAATGTTCCTATGGCCGTGCTTCGCAAGGAGAATGTTTTTCGTTTTTTGTTCCTGCCTCATGTTTGCTGATTTTTAAATGTTTTCTATTATATTTTTTGATTGAAATTTTTAAAACCACCTGCACAATATGTATGGCTTTAAAGAGCACTTAATAAACCTTTTGTAAACCAAATTTGACTTTGTTCTGACTTTTTTTGCCCATAGGAACACATTAATTAGATTTCAATAAATGAAACATCCCCTGAAAATAACCCCTAATGTGTTTTTGGAGCAATAATTAATACAAGACTCTGTCTTATTTTCAGGGAAACAGGGTATTTCCACATGAGACTTTACATCACTGGACAGAAGTATGATTATTTCTTGGATACATTTATAATCAAATACAAGTATAAATTGGAAGATTACTTGATACACCTGTCTGACAGAACCGTCACCCATTTTACCCAGCAACAACAGAAAGAAAGAGATTGGCTGGAAGACGTCAGAGAGGAGAGCCAATCTAGAGGAGCCAACAGGAGATATATAAAGAGCTGAAGAGGATGGAAGGGAGGAGATTTAAATTGTATCTAAGGAAAGGAGTTTGGGTTTTTGAGCGGAATGTATAATTACTTTGTATCGGGGAGATCTAGTTCTGGGGAGGGAAAGTCGACACTTATAATTCAGGTAACCTTAACCTTAAGCTTAAGAAAGTGCAGTTCACCAGTTCTTATATTTCAATAATGATCTTATTTTTATGTTTAAGACTGCTTGTGGGGGCACGTGGTGGCGCTGTGGGCTAAACCGCAGAAGCCTGTGCTGCAGGGTCAGAAGACCAAGCAGTCGTAAGATCGAATCCACGCGACAGAGTGAGCGCCTGTCGCTTGTTCCAGCTCCCGCCAACCTAGCGGTTCGAAAGCATGCAAATGTGAGTAGATAAATAGGGACCACTTCGGTGGGAAGGTAACAGCGTTCCGTGTCTAAGTCGCACTGGCCATGTGACCACGGAAGATTGTCTCCGGACAAATGCTGACTCTATGGCTTGGAAACGGAGATGAGCGCCGCCCCCTAGAGTCGAACACGACTGGACAAAAAATTGTCAAGGGGAACCTTTACCTTTACCTACCTTACAGGCTCTTATGATTTGGTTTAAGGCTAGCTCAGTGAAAATAAAGGACAGTTTAAAGGGTGATTAGCTGGGTTAGGGATGGTGACAACCTGTAACTTAGCATGTACACTACATTATTTTTTAAACTGATTAACTTGCCCCTTCTTAATTTTATTTATGAGATAGTCATGCTGACCTTATGGTGTTGGTTTATTGCCTAATGTCTGATTCAGTTGTCTTAATTTTGCCATCTTGAGACTTAGTGATGCCTATTAGAAAGGAAGGTTTTTAGGGTGAATTCTTGTTTTTGTATGTTGATTGTTTTAATCCTCTTGGTCCACTTACGTTACTTTGTTGTAGCCACCCATAGTAGTAGGAGGGTACAATTCAGATAGATAGATAGATAGATAGATAGATAGATAGATAGATAGATAGATAGATAGATAGATAGATAGATAGATAGATAGATAGATAGATAGATAGATAGATAGATAGATAGATAGATAG